GAACCAACGAAGCCAAATTTCTAGACTTTTTTTTTTAAGGGAGTTATTGGGAAAAGTAAAACAAGAGTAGCCAATAATCATTCCCACGACATTCCAAATAAGATCAATACAGTCAGCCAAACTAAATTAATTATATATTACCCGCTTCAAGACGGTCTCGTGAGTTGGAGCCTGTTCAAAATTTAGTGCAAAGAGGCTGTTGGATAGAGACTAGGTGAGTCTCCTATTTGGGTGTAGTTAGGCAGGACTTTGGGGGCTCCTTCTCCACTTCCATTTCTACTCCCCCTTATTTCCCCCCCCCTTTTCTCTGCCTCTTGAGCATGATCTTCACAGTTTGGGAGGGAATAAACTCACTGGGGAGACTAACTGTTGCTTTGTCCATACAAAACAAATGCACCATTTCTGCATCTTGCCAGCAAATTTAAAAAATATATGAGTGGCTGAAGCTACCTTTTCAACAACCCTGGCTGAATGCTAAAAGGTGCTGACCAGTTTTCACCTGTTGTGCCAGGCTATAAAAAGGCTTATACAGAAAGGCTTTGGGGGATGTAAAAGGCTTTGTAGGGGGCAGGACAGCTTGTGAGAAACTCTTCAGTGTATTCACTTGACAGAATAAAGAGGCTTCTAAGCGTGGGATCAATTAACCAGATGCTTCAGATGGCCTGTTGGGCCTTACCAAAACCAGGGTTTTGTCACACCAGCTTACTGTGAAATACTGCACTGGCTAATTTTTGCCCATTGTGGAGTTGGCCAGGATGATTTTTCCCCTATCCGTTGATCAGTTGATCTCTAATCTCCAGGCTTTCAAGCCATCTTGCCTGGTGCATACTTCACACAACACCTTCACTCAATTGCTAACTGCATGGATGGCTTCCGTGTGTCTTGCCCCCTGTGTGCACCATTCCCCTCCTGCAACACCCAGCTCTTATGCCAGTGTTGTCCAAACTTGGCCACTTTAAGATGAGTGGACTTCAACTCCCAGAATTCCCCAGCCAGCCATGC